GGAATGGATCACAATTCTAGGCTCAATCATTTCTGGATTTTGGTGAAGCATCCTGACACCTGTTATTTCTTTTAAGTGTTATTCTCACCCAATTAGCCAAGCCTTTGCTAATCTCAGCTCTCCCTTGCTGAAGGGCTGGTAGTCAAAATTATCTCAAGGGACCAATTTTGAGAGTAGAATCAGAAAGGAAGACCCTTCCTCAATTTATGCACAAATCACATTGTAAGAACATAAAGAGAAACAATTGTCTATTCACAATCCTTCCACTTATATGTTCTTTTAATGGAAAGGAATCATCTACCTGTTAGAGTAATAAATAGATTCTTCCTCTGGAGATGTCTCCCACAGAGACCACAATATGGATGTAATTATTGATTTGTTTCAGATAACCTCTACTGAAAATATTATTTTCTATGACTGAGCACAATATTAACCTTTTTTGTATTCTTAAGATGAATCTATTGAACTCCTTGGAAGATGGTGAAAAGAAAAAAAAAAAAAAAACAATAAGTTTTTATTTCACCTCTAATAGGAGTATAATTTCATTCCAGAAAATCACATGTACTTTTCACCTAGCTGGCACTATATGAAGAGAACTCAGTGCCCTTGCTCACAGCAGAAGCTTGTACACAGTGTTTTCAGGTTAGGTTATTCTGAGGGAGAAAATCCATTACAATATCTCTGGTGCACTAGTGACATTCAGGGCTTCAACTTCCTCAGGCTTGGAACAACTCAACATTTCTCCTTAATTCCAGGCTGCGTACAGCATCTGCCTTTGTCTTAAGGAACAATTTGTCAGTCTCTCTGAAGTGCTCCATCTCCCTGGTCACTGTCAATAAAGTGGGTAATAAAGTAATAGGTCATAGAAGTGGTACTGCTTATTTCAGGTAGGTATTCATCAAAATCTTTAGTGTAGAATTATGATTTTCTTTTACTTCTAGAGGAAGTTGAGGTGTCAGAAAGACTTTGAGTTTCCCAAGCAAGGAGAGTTACTTTTGGCTGGACTCTCAGCTTTCATGAAAGAAGTGGCATTTGAAATGAGACATAAAGGATGGGAATGTTGAGGAGTTGCTGGGGAAAGGACATAGGGGATGGAGAGAGGGACCAATGCGCTGAGCATGGGAACAAGACGTGTTCAGAGAAGTGACAATGTGGCTAGATTCAGTGATATTTCTGAACCTTGGCAGCACATTGGATTTACATGGAGGAATTTTTGTTTCAAATATAGATATTCTGGGCCACTCTCCAGATCAGATGTACTGGAATGTTTTGTAAAGGGGCTCAAACATCAGTGTTTTGTTTCGTTTTGTTTTGTTTTGTTTTTTAAAGCTCTGAGGATTATTCTACAGTGTGTCCAGAGCTGAAAAACTCTGGGCAGTGTATAGAATACAGGAAGTGGAGTCCTTGGAGGTGTGCCTGTCTTCAGGTGGCTTACGAACAATTTCTTTTTTTATGTTTTTAAAGCATATGGTTTATTACTTTTCTGACTACATATGGTGTTATATGACATATTTTATATATGAAAGGTATGAAATAAATCTTTTAAAATTTTGTTTGGAAGAAAGAAAAGTATGTTATTAAAAATTACTGATATAAGAAATATCCAAATCCATAGAGAATTTTTATAAAAGTTTATTTGAGCCATAACTGATGACAATTGCCAGGAAGCAAGATCGCAAGTGCTCCAGAGAGGGATAGTTTGCAGTTTCTTTTATGCATTTGGAATTAAGGAGGGAATTTAAGATTACAAGTAGGCGGGAGAAAGCAAGGGCGGGGCAAGGGGTGAGATTATAGGGTAGTTAACAAGATTATGTGCTCTCTTGAGAGATGTTACACACCTTTGAGGGCTCTTACTTCTGGCGTTTCAAAGGTGTGTTAACCTAGATGCACAAGAACAATGCACAGGACTTGTTTAAAAACCTTTTACTAAAGAAGTTATAGGCCTGGTGCGTGACTACCCACCATGACCTACTCAGTTAGGAATTTGTGATTTATTACAGCTTTCCTTTTTCATCCACCAGATGTACTGTGTACCCAGGCACAGTGCTAGGTGGTTTGTTTTGAGAATATTGCAAAACCATTGAAATCATGAGAGATATTCTGGGATGCCAGAAATCTACAGTTTTGAGAATTCACTGCTTTGGTAAGCTGATGAGAACACACATGCACACATTTAAAAGGCTGTGAGTTTTGAAGAATGAACATATTTTGAAAAGGCAAGGCACACTTGGGTGTAATAGTTGTGGATTCAGATCGAATCTTTGCCGCTTACTAGCTGTTGTAGACAAGGTACACATCCTCCTTGAGCCTCGTTTTTTTATTCTTAAACCCACAGGTTTGCTCTGAGATTTGAGGGAAACACCTCTGTAGAGCACTTGGTGAGGTGCCTCACCTAGCAGGAGTAAGATAATTTTTATAGAGTGTATGTATTTATTAAACTGACTACATCTCATTCCTGAGTTTACGCTAAATTTTATTCTTCTAGTAGGAGGCATGCACAGTAATACATAAGCAAAAGCTGGCATCGCAGAATCATTATCCTTGCAGTGAGTTGGGGAAATGGAGACTATATTTGCCATGCATTCATCAGGTGCTTTCACAATTTTAAAATTAAAAGAAAAAAAAAGGCAGGATTCTCTTTCAGTACTTTGCAGGGACATAGCTTTGAACAAAAGCAACAAATGAAAATATTTATGCATGCTGTTTGGCTCTACTACTCACAAATTTCCTCTTGATTCTCAATTTTCTGTGTCTATGAAGATATTACGTGACTTTTGTTATAGTCCTCAGGTCAATTTCAAGGTCCTTTGAAGGCTTGGCTCATCTTACATTAGGTGACCTCAGAAATATCTAGTTTCACTTTACTCTCCAGTCTGTGAAAATAGTGTCCCTTTTCATTGAACACAATTAGAGAATGTTTCCAGCTTGATAAAAAGTAAGGGGAGAAGTGGGGAGCTAGATCTTTAAGGGTACCAGGAAGACTCACAGCATAACTTGTTGGTTTTTAAGTATGTTTACTCTGTTATCTGAGCCAGTTATTAATTGACTGACAAAATTTGAGGTAGTAGCATTTTTTTTAGATTACCAATTCCTTTTTATTCAAAGTCAGCAAGACCTTTTGTGAAACAACATCTGAAAATTTAATTCATGTGTGTGTAGTAGTAGACTATGTTCTGACCTCCTGCACCACCAGGAAAACAGTTTATCATGATATATGGAATCTTGCTGAGACAAAATAACTTATATTTTCACTACTTGAGTCATAAATTGCATTCGTTTTTATTTGATTGGAAGAATTAAGGGTTCAGTTTAGTAATATAGAAGGTAAAAGATTGAGACCTCGCCCCAGAAGTGGGGGTAAATGAAATCATGTGAGATGTCTCCACCTAGTGGACAAAAGGTTGTAATCCTACTCCTTTCACCCATTATTAAGAGTGGAATCCTTTAGCCGCAGCTTTAAGACATAGTGAAAATCAACAGGAGAAAAAACATTTTGGATGATTAATTGATCAGCACAGATGGAAAAAATAAGAAAGAAATTATAAAACTTATTTTATCTGTTATAAGGCAACTATTAAATTTTTTACTACATTTGGAGTTTTTTAATGTAGCAATTTCTGAATGACCAAATCTACATTTACTACTTATCAAAGCATTTCACAGATATTTGTCCATTTGATTGTACTTGCACTGAATGCCAAGATAGTTAATTAACTAGCTGGATTTTAGATGAGGGAAATAAATGGCCTTATATAGAGTAGCTTAGAAAAAATTAGTGTCTGAGACTAAGTGTGCTAATTATAAAATGGAAACCAATAGACCTGAGTTCTTAATGATTACTAGATTTTAATTAAGTAATTAGTTTCTCTCCTACGTTAGTTTGATCTGTGTTAGACCTATTTTACAAATCAGTAAACTTTCTGTGCCTCAGTTTCTTCATTTGCAAAATGAAGGTATATTAATACCGACAAAAGTTTTACAGGATGAATGATTATGTGCCTAGCACTTTGATAGATACTGGAAACACAATGACGAATAAAGCATAGCCCCTGATAACAGAGAATATGCTTTTTAGAGGAAATACATAAATCATTTTAAGACAAGATAATAAATAAAAATAGTAACATAACCCAGCACACAGAAGTATCAAGGAATGGTGGCTAGCTCAGCCTAGAAGGAAGTGGAGTTATAGTCAAGAAGGCCACCTGGAGGAGGCCAAACCCTCAAGTAAGGCTTAAAGGATACATGAGGATTAATAAGCAAGGAAGGAGGGTGGAGACTGAGAGGGTTCTCTGAGCTGAGACTGACAACCCAATACGGATTTGTAAGATGCTATTAGGAATGGAACATTTGACAAAACCAGGGTTCTTTGGGACTCTTAAGGGAATATGTATCCTACTCATTAATGTACAGAGTAGGATTCCAAAGGGGACTCGATCTTGCAAAATGGGGCAGTAGGAGAAGCTCCAGAAGTGTCCCCGAGGGCCTTCCCTGGGCCATCTGGGATACCTGGCTTCTTTTTTTTTTTTTTTTTTTTTTTTTACTGGTTGACAACTAGCATTTTAGTCCTAGACTTCCAGGAAGTGAATGGATTTAGTGTCAGTCTGGCCTGACCTCTTCAGAGTACAGTTTTACTATATTTATCAAATAAATCATGCAAAATACCATATCAACTGATTAAACACGAAACCAATGAAGTGGTTAATGCTGCTGAGTCACCTTCTAACCCAGAGATGTTGCAAATAGAACACTGACTTCCAGAAATAATATTCCAAATCTATTGTGGTTCAATCCATTTCTTCATAATTGACATCTGCCTTCTACTTTGAAGTTTTGCTAAGCATTTGATTTGCAAGAAAATGAATGATCTATTTTTATTTTTATTTTAATTCCTTACCTGTTTATTTCTGGCATCAAAAGAACCAGTTTCCCCCTCAACTTTAAATGGCCAGTAAAGACTTGGCAAAGTCCTTAAAAGAATACAACTTTTGTCTTCACAGATACAGGCTAGTTCCAAAGGTTTATTTTCCTGAGCAAATTCACGACGTTGTACGTGCCACAAAGTATTTCCTGCAGCCAGAAGTCTTACAGAAGTATTCAGTTGACCCAGGCAGAATTGGCATTTCTGGCGACAGTGCTGGTGGGAATTTGGCTGCTGTCCTGTGCCAACAGGTAACAGACTGCTCTGGGGTGCTGGCGGTAGGGGGGTGCATGATAAGATCCAAAAGACCAACACCCTCTCCACTACAGGTGGCAAAGGCTTAGCCAGGGGAGCTGGTCATTAGGTGGCCAGATTATTTAGATGACTGAACTTGGAGAGCTCTCAGCAATATTTCTGAAGTAGGAAGAGGGGCTACTGAGAGCAGTATCATCTCCGAGTCCTTGTAAAGGCCTTGAGTACAATCAGTGTGAGAAGAGAACTAACATTTTGGAGCATACCCTTGCTCCTCTGGGAATGCATGGAAATTAAGTGTCCCCTTCTCCTTTTCCATGTTGGACTTCCAAAATGAGGTAGTTTTGCTTAAATTCCAATTCCAAGGGTCTCCTAATTTTTTTTTTTTTTTTAATTTCAAAGAAAATATTAAATGGTTCAGCCACTGTAAATTTAATAATGCAAGTTAATCTGAGCTTTACCTGCTTAAATTCTTTGAAAACAAGATTAGGGGCAGCTGTATAAACTCAAAGATAAGTACATTTTTTTCCTCTTATGGATTTGACAAGAGAAAAATTCTGAGATGTCATAAATTCAATTACGGCAGGCTGGAGGGGTAGAAGGAGGAGGTAAGAGTTTAATCAGTTAACAGAGTCTTTGGCCAAAAATAACAAACAAACTATTCACATTCCTGAAAATATGTCAGGGCTTTGAAACAACTTCTAGGAGGCTATCTAAAAAAAAATAGGCAGCCATCAGACACTACTGCATCCTGCTTATGCATGAACTTTCCAAACCATTTCCCACAAATAATCCAGAAGTAGGAAATATTTCTTCCTCATGGACTATGCACTTCCCTCACTTCACTTTTTCCTGCCCTCCTAGTCCATAGCCAGTGTAAATTCTTTTAAAACAACTTACATCTTTCTTCCTCCAACCCATTGTGTGAAAGAAGCCTGTCAGCTCCAGGAGAGCACACCTGTTTGTCCTGTCCACCTACCACTGCTGCTGGTAGTTCATATTGCAAACCCCAGGACCTGGTATTTTTCTGGCCAGCATATGGCTCAACAAACCCTTCCTTTCAGAAAAGCTTATGGCTGCAAAGGTTTTTGTTTAACATATCAAATAACTTAAGAATAGCATCTCTTTCTTTTCACCTCTGAATTTCTTTGGGTATTCTCAAGTAGCATTTGCCTTTTTATCTGTGATGTACCCTGGTTTCTTCCCCTTTGCTATAATTACAGAACTTGATTCTCCACTTGGCATTGGCAGGTTTGCTATTCATGTCTGGATGAGATACAAAGAAAATCCTGGTGCAGCAGGAAGAGCATTACAGGCTTTAAAACCAGACAGAACTGAGATAGAATCCAGGCTCCCCCTTTGGAAGCTACAGGGCTTTGGGCAAACTCCTTATTCTCTCTGATAAGAAAATGAGAATGATGTCATCTGATGCAGGGTTGTTGCCAAGATTTAGTGAGATGATATGTGTACAATTCTTGGCACATATTAGTAGTACTCTTTATTGATCGTTTCCTCTTGCTTTTACAGAGCAGTTACATCTTCCCTGGGGATGGGTTATAAAGGCTAATGTGAAACAAAATTATACGGCTAAAGTTACCTTGAAGATTGTTTAGTTGCCTCCACTGAGCTACTTAGCTGTCTTTTAGATGTTAAAGGAAAAAGATATCATTTTAGATACTAGAATTACAAAATGAGACAGCATATTCACATTTGGGGGAGGCACGGGGGAATTGAGATCTGTTGAGGTGGAAAATCCATTCCCACTCCCTTTTTGACTTCGCTCTGGGGCACATGCTCATTAAATAGAATGCAGGGCACATTGCCAGCAGTATTTAAATTCTGACTCTCTCATTGAGCATAAAAACTAAGTGCTTATCAGAAGAAATACCCTGAGGTCCTACTAAAACACTTGGAGTCCCATCGGCTATTCATTTAGCTTTCCTACCCCTCTGCTGTGGAGGAGTCAGACTGGTTTTTCTCCTTAGGAAGCCATTGCCTTTTTGGGCCTTGCAGGGAATAAAAACTAAAAAAGGTTCACACATTATCCATCCATAATATTCATCAAGGTGTGCTAAGTGCCGAAAGATAGATGCAAGTGAAATGTTGATGAGGGTTTAAAGACCTAACAGATCATGTACCTTTGATGCGTTCACTCAAAACTATGAGTTGCAGACATCATATCTTTCTTAGCAAATATCCAGCAGCTTGTTTGGGTGCTGGTAGCCAGTGGTGATGGGGAATTATTTACTTTTTAAACTATATTACTTAATACCATGCCTAGTAGAAATTTTACAACCGTATCCCTTTGATTGATTCAAAGTATGCATTAAACTGCTTTTTAAGATGTGGTTTCTATAAAAGGAGCCATGCAATATGAAAAAATGTGTTTGTTTCTTCTTCTCCAGTTTAGTCAAGATGTCAACCTGAAAAAGAAGCTCAAAGTGCAAGCTTTAATTTATCCAGTTCTTCAAGCTTTAGATTTTAACACACCCTCCTATCAGCAAAATGTGAACATCCCAATCTTGCCCCGTCACACCATGGTAAAGTACTGGGTAGAATACTTCAAAGCCAGCTATGACTTTGTCCAGGCAATGGTAGTTAACAATCACACTTCACTTGATGAAGAAGAGGCCACTGCTCTCAGGGCCCATCTAAACTGGACGTCCCTCCTGCCTGCCTCCATCACAAAGAACTACAAGCCTGTTGTGCAGACCACCGGCGATGCCAGGATCCTCCAGGAGATCCCTCAGCTGCTAGATGCTCGTTCTGCCCCGCTCATTGCAGACCAGGAAGTCCTGAAGCATCTCCCAAAGACCTATATTCTGACATGTGAGCACGATGTCCTAAGAGACGACGGGATCATGTATGCAAAGCGTTTGGAGAGTGCAGATGTAGAAGTGACCCTTGATTATTTTGAAGATGGCTTCCATGGGTGCATGATTTTCACCAGGTGGCCCACCAACTTTGCAGTGGGAATCCGGACTAAGAATAGTTATATCGAGTGGCTGGATCGAAACCTGTAAAGGAGTAAAATGCTTGTGCTCTTCTCAACCTCCTGTATCTGCTTTGGAAAGATATGCACTTTTAGTCAACCAATTTCCCCCTGTTACTTGTGAGTTATGGAATCTCTATTCTCTGCTTTATGTTAAGTTAATTTTTTTTAAAATGCATTTGATTAATGTAAGTGCAAAAATCTCTAAATCTGGTTCTCTAAGTGGGCCAGTCTCTCTGTTTTTGTTTTAACCAAACTACTACAAATACCCAACCGCCACTACAGAAAGCAGGACAAGGAGCTGGAAATAGCTGTGGGTCTTGCCTTCATCAAGAAGTTCTTTTTGGAAGAAATTCTTCCAGCTGTGGATATGATAGTGACCATTAATGAGTTAAGAAAAATGTGGGCTCTTCTTTAACTTGCTGGACTTTACTTTGAGTTCAGAGCACTGTTCAGTTAAATGTGTATGCTTCTAGGTCAGTACTGAGTACCAAGCACCCTCTGTCCTTTGTGGATGGATGGTTTTGTTTCCTATGGGAATTTTAGCAAAGGTATTCTAGCAAGGACAATTTTCTCAAATGACTTTCTTCCTTTAGAGTGTTAATTTTATGAGATAGCTATCTGTAAGTCCAGTTGGACTGTGATGATAATTGAAAGTTACTTTCTACCATTATTATTAGAAAATATAAGGTTGCATGCACTGGATATCTGTACATTGTTAAGTTTTTTTGGTTGTGCCGTCTCCTTGGAAGAGAACTTTTGGGTCAGATTTATTTAAATTTAGAATAAATTTCCCATTATAGGACAAATGAAGACAAATGAACCAACCTATGCTTTTCATAATGAATATTTCTGACATAAATTACCAAGAGCAGTGTGTATATATTTGGCACAGTCAGAAAGAAGGTGCATTTAATATTAGTTTAAAATTATGAAAACTACCTGTAGAGGGTCCAGTTTGTTCTTGAAAACTCAAGTTTTTCACTTACATGGCTTTAAAATGGGGCTATTTTCATATATATAATGTATTGTTTATTTTTTAAAGTTATTTAACGTTAATACATGTAGCTAGACTTAAGATTTTTCAGAATAATGTCTATAATGAATATTTAAAATAACATTTTTAAAAAACTACCTTAGGGCTTAAAAAATTACCTTAGAATAATATGTATATGTACTTTTATGGAAAAAGTAAAATAGCTATTAATACTGCTATACATTAGACCTAAATATTTTGATGTTCATATGCATCTACAAATTAAGATAATTAGAAACTATGACTTTGCCTAGTAAAGTCATCTGAGTTTATAGTTTATAGCTGAAGCAGGACACACGCTGCTCATTTCTACTCTCTGTAGTTAGAGGGACACTAGTTCAGTCTTCAGAAGAAAGGCATACGCTGGCTCCTGGCGCCCACACCCTCATTATATCCTTCCACCAAGTCTAGAAGTTCCAATAGCCCAAGTTTAATTTGACGTAAAGCCTTCACTGCCAGTGCAAACATCTTTGGCATAATAAGACACTCCGGCTCTGATGTGAGCTGAGTCCCTCTGCTCTCCTTTCTGCTACTCTCACTTCTCCCCCAATGCATGCTATTTCCAGGGACTGCAGAGAGCAGCAGTCCAGCCAAGTAATGATACAATAAATTTATCAGTGAGAAGAAAGTAGAACCTTTCGTTCATTTGAAAGATGGGTATTTCTCACTTCTGTCATGAAGTAACAAATGAAAATTTGCAGTTATTTTTCATTTATTGCATAAACTAGTAGCATTTTATGTACAAAACAGAAGTAAATGCAACAGTGTATGTATGTGTGTGTGCCTGTGTGAATATAAAAATAATCATACAAATTAGTATGCTAATGTTCTCAGGCAAGTCATTTAGCATCTCTGAGCCTTTTCCTTTTCCTCTAAAATTAGAGGATTGAACCACTTGATCTATAAAGTCTCTTTCAACTATAAATTCCAACCATTTTTGTCAGACTGGCAAATTGTATTGACTCTTCTTCAGTAAATTTTTTGCAGTTCATTTATTCCATTTACACAGGCAAATGCATTATCAAAGATTTTTTTTTTTTTTTTCCTAAAAAACTGGGATTCTTACTCTGTGGTAGTTTTTTAGTTCTAAAAAACTGGGATTTTAGTTCTTACCCTCCTCATTTAATATTATTCTTTTTGACATCTTTGGAAGAACCAATGCTTGGACCTCATTTTGAGGTTATCTACCTCTAATTAAAGCAAAGAAAATATAATAACTGCAGAGACTTCCTTAAAATGACATCCCCCCACCCCCAGAATTGCAAGCCAAATCCTATAGTAATTTATAGACAATAAATGATTACAGACCCCTAAAGGGTTTTCTTGGATGAAAAGTGAGTGAAAGAAAACAGGGGTCAAGCACAGTTTTTTATTAAATACTTGAGTTTTATTAAAACTTTTACATATGTGGATAATTTGTGTAATGACTTGCACTGTATCCTACGTTTGACCTTGCTTGAAGATCTTCCTTGAAATTCACCTTAGAATAATAACAATTGTGAATCATGATACACAAAAAACAGATACCAGATACAAGAGAAGCTAAAACGACCAAAAATCTGAGTGCTAAGAACTCCTATGGGAAGCCTACAGAGTTTATGTTGAAGGTATTTTAGTTTTGGGTGAATTTATTTTCTTCTAGTTTTTGCTCTTATAAAAAATAGTTTATGCTCTAC